TGGCAGTCCGAAACAGAGTCGCGTTCAGACAATTACTGCAAGACATTGGAATAGTGAGACTGGTCGAGACTACATTGTTCTCTCTACCATGCCTGATTGTTCATACTAACACTTCTACTTCTCTGTATATATTCCTGTTTGTAATATATCTGTGTTATTCCATATCCGTGTTCGAGTTCTTCTTTATCGGTTCTACCTTGGACTATCACCGTGGTACATGGAATCGGACCATAACAAAAATGTATTTATATACACATATATAGATATAGATATATACATATATATATATATATATATATATATATATATATATATATATATATATATATATATATATATATATATATATATTATGAATTAATTGATTTAAAATATTTTTTTTTTCGCTACACAGTTCTAAAATTTCAAAAAATGGAAGCTAAAAGCCCTGAATTTAATTTTGTAATTAAATTAAAGACATTAGTTCCATTTCATCCTCAAGCGAATATTGGAGTAACTTTTAAAATTACTGGGTTTTAAATACACAGCTAAAACAAAATTAATGTTTCCAAGGTTACATATAAATCTATTTTTCTAGACAGGGGTGTCTGGGTTTTCAATATGTCTAAATTTTAATGTATCAGTTATTACTACTTTTAGTAGCGGGTAGGGATGTATTTTTCAATGAAATAATTGCTCTGATTTGACATTGAGCTCTCTGGATTATATCTTCCTTGTGATTATCCCTACGGATTAGCAAACTTTTCAATACTTATATATATATATATATATATATATATATATATATATATATATATATATATATAAAGCAGTGTTAAATGATAAATAAATATTTATCTACTTTTCTATTGAGCTCTGTTTAAATTAATGTTCTGAACGCTGAAATATTACTTTTCGTTCTTTTACATTTGGATATATATATATATATATATATATATATATATATATATATATATATTGTCATCCATAGACAGACTGTTTCGCTGTATCACAGTTCATCAGTGTGACTAGACATCCGATTGCCTCAAGCTAGGGTGGAATTCAGACTGGACTGATTTGGCATCATTGGGACATTTTCCCCTAAGCTAACAGCTCTCAGCAGAGAGGAAGGTGAATTTTTACGTATTTATTTTGAATAAACATGCCATTGAAACGGGGTACTCGATTCATAAAAGAGCTTTGCTTTATCAGCAGAAGTAGTCATGGTTTACAAATTCACGCTTTCTCACTAAATTGCTCGATCGAAATTTATTTTATGGGGGACGTATATATACTGTCGTTCATAGACAGACTGCTTCAGTGTGCCTAAAAATCCGATTGCCTCAATCCCGGATGGAAATCCGACTGATTTGGCATCAGTCGTAGATATATTTTCCCCTAAGCTATCGACTCCTAACAAAGAGAAAGGTGAATTTTTATGTATTTATTTTTGAATAAACACGCCAGTGACTCGGAGTGCTCGATTCATAGAAGAGCTTTGCATTATCAGTCACTGTTTATAAAGTTTATATGGTGTATTTAGGCAGCAATTCCTTTTTGATACAAGATTGAAAAAAGTACAGACATTAAGCTTTTTATTAACTGTTTTCTTTTCTGGACACAAAGTGTGTAAAAACTGTCTAAATGTTCTGATTCCCTAGCACTTTCGACTATACTTTTAGTCATCAACTAGTATAATTTTATTTTTACATTTTAACTGAATGCATGTGTTTTGTATATGTATCTAGAGTTATAAGGGTGTTTTATTTTCCGAACACGGCCATACTGTGCTGGCCGTATTCGTAATTAATGTTATTGTGTGTTGGCTTTTTTCTTTTTTATTATTAAGGTTTCCATTATTTTTAATCTTTTATTTTCATGTGGATGAGGATATTATCTACTATCTATCTGCTAGTGCGGCTTATACGCGAGTATATACGGTAAATCAAGAAAAACTGGTTTTCATAATTAATATTCACCTAGCGTAAATAAATCTGGCTTTGTTGTAATTTCGCCCCAAGCCGGATAGTAAACCTATTAAAATGCAATTAATTACCGAGAATCAGTGAGTCTATGGAAAAAAAACACACGGGAAATAAATTTGGAACTCGGTTGGTCTGTTCGCTCCAACCAACCATATTCACTTGGCTTGGTGCTAATCTTTTCAGATCGCTGCAAAACCTATTGATGAGTAAAGATTGTCTCTAAAGTGAAACCAGATTTAAGAATTTGTCGAAAACTTATTCGCCTCATAAATTGCAAAGTTTTATATAAAAATGTATGGAAGATCCACCCGTTACGTGAGAAAAATAATTGCAACAAATACTGTTGGACATATAATTGAATAATTGAATAAAATGTAATTGTATTTATTTTTCGAAGAAAAAACTGGATAAATAAATATGAAAACTATATAAGAATTGACTTAAGAAATAACAAACTTGTGATAAATCGGCAGAACCCATATTTTAACCCAAGAATGCAGTAGGTTTGCATGAAGTGAAACAGACCTTAGTGAGGAGAAGTGAGGAAAAGGACAATGACGGAAGAGCATTCTGGAAGACAGAAAATGGCGATAAGAGGCAATGGCTTACTAGGATTGAAAGAGAATGAGGAGGACAACAACATAACAGGTTTCAGTAAGACAGAAGATGGCGATAATGCCACTAAGACACAAGGGGTTACTGGGACCGAAAGAGAATGAGAAAACTTTAGTGAGGAGAAAGCACAATAAAAGAACATACAAAAGATGGCGATAATGTCATTAAGACGCAAGGGGTTACTTAGAGTGAAAGCAAATGAGAAGAATTTAGTGAGGAGAAAGGACAATGAAATGACAGAAGATGCAGATAATGCCACTAAGACACAAACGATTTGCGAGTGTGAAATAGAAAATGTGTGTGAGTATAAGACGATGAAGGAACAGAAGTCTGAAAATGGGGATTGACGCTGCATTTAAAATGTTAAAATTGTAGGTGGCAGGAAAGCAAGAAACTTAATGGAGATGCCACAATGTGTCTAGCTAGCCCAACTGTAACATGGTCAGGCTTAGTTGTCAATCTTATCGGAGGACCGATATTACCTAGTTCAGCATTTTTTCGTCGTTTCTAACGACTTTTTCTATTTCTATTACTTTGTTTAGGTTTTGGTAGGCTTCTTTCGCTATGAAAATGCAAATTCTGATTTTGATGTCGCCCATTCTGTCTTCTGTTAAAACAAATGTTTAGAGGTACAAAATTTATATATAGTTTTAAAAACAAGGAAGGTATTGATTTTAATTTTAAAAGTCCCTCAGGCCCTTTCAACCAACATCTCATCAGGAGACAATCGTTGGATCAACGAAAAGAATATTAACGACAATGAAGAGCAAAAAGAGGGGGGAAACACACTAAAAAAAAAAAAAAAAAACAAACAAGTGTATATACTTGTAACGAGGGGAGGGGAAATAATCGTGTAAATAAATTAGCGAGGGACAGTTAAAATAAAATATCCCCCAACAGATTAAGAGACTTTACGAATTCTTTCTGCCGGCAGAGAGAAGGTTTCTTTAATCCTATGCAGACCGATTCCAAAATCTTCAAATGATTGTTGGAATCGGCTGTATGAATAATTTTAAACTACTCTTTTTTTAAACGACTTGGCGCAGGCTATATTCTCAACTAAATGTTGAGCAATAGCCGATTCCATATTCATGAGGGGAAGATAGCATATTCTATCTATCTTACCAAGTCGTATTTTGGAAGGTACGTGCTGATTGATTCTAGTTTCCAAATGCAAGGTTATACGCCCCACATAACCAGCAGCACAAGGCTTCGGTCTGGAAACGTAATCACCAGAAGGCTTCGGTCTGGAAACGTAATCTGATAGAGCCGTGCAGCCTCGTGTCCATTCTCATTCGCTCACCCGTATATAAAAATCATATCTGGCTGCTCACGATATGAATAACTTGTCATTGTTAAAGGTAACAGTTCTCAGTTAACTCACTACTACACACGTTAATATTGAAGACAAACCAGCTACACATGTACACGATTGACAAATGTAAGCTAGTCCCTACGGCAAAAAGGCGCCATATACCGTAAACTTTTCTTTAAACTTTAAACGAAGAATTTGCCACCAGAAGTTTATATGGGCTTTTGTCTTTATTTTGGTGTAAGGAATCAGCCCCTAACTTTAGTAAAAGTGTTTTGATACACCTCGTGTATATATATATATATATATATATATATATATATATATATATATATATGTTTGTTTGCAGGTCAGGAAGATTGAGAGCTGCTGTTTTTTCTGATGAAATAAAAATTATTACCTATGGAATTTTAAGTGTTTGATATTCTTTAATTAATAATAATTTTGCTCTGTCTTTTGACATAGAGCTCTCCCTGGATCTATATCTCCCTGGAAATTAATAGCATATTGCATCATTAATCATAACTATATATATACATACCCGGTTGAATTGGCGTCAGTCGAAGATTCTACCACTAAGCCGCTGGCGCACGGCAGGGATGAAGGTGAATTTTAGTCTATTTATGTTTAGATGACACAGTGACTGAAAGGTCTCGATTCGCTTTACCGAAGAGTCTTGATATAATAGCCGTAATAGTCACTGTTTACAAACCCTGTTCCTCCCCCAGAGAGGTCAACCGAAATAAATTTTTCAGGAACTTATATATATATATATACTGAACATAGAAGTCAACACTTAGAGGCCACAGTCTGTTTCATACTAGACTCAATCGTCAGGTCACGAGTGCTGTTATTGTTCTCGGCTATTTATATATACGGGTTAAGTGGTGCATTGTGGGTAGTCTATTTTGGCGGTTATTTTACCGGAAGTCGTTTATTTGTTTCTTTATTTATTTGGGTTAAATTATTTTGCTTGTTTTTATTTATTTTTATTTTTATTTTTATTTCTTATCTTATATATTTCATTTTTATTTTTATTTTAACCGGTGTTTTTATTAACGTAGTAAAAAATTTGGTTTTTTGGTTTGTTTTTTTTTGTTTTTGTTTTTTTGGTTTGGGAAGATAATTAAAGCTATTTATTCAATTTTGGGGTTGATTGTTGTAGTTTATTCTAACTATTATTTTGGGGAGAGCAGTTTTTAATTTGCTTATTACTTCCTGTATTTATTTGGATTGATATCTTTATTTGTTTTTTCTAACGGTTAATTTATGGGGATCGGTTTGTTAGTTTATTTATTTAGATGAATTTAGATTAATTTATTTTACTTGTTTTTTATTATTTATTTATTATACTGTATATTTTTATTTACTCTTTTCGGTTTTCGATTTTTAAGTAACGTAGTATTTTTTTCTTTACTTTTGTCGTTATATAACAGTTATAGCTATTTTTTTCGCCAGATTTTTGGTTTGATTTTTATAGTCTAACTATTTTTTTGGTAATAATGGCTTGTTAATTTGTTTATTATTTACTTTATTTCTTTGGGTTCATTGATTTTGTTTTTTTATTTTTTATTTATTTTTTCTATTTCGTCTACTCTAACGGGTGTGAGTTGGTAATTTGTTTGGGTTAATTTATTTTGCTTATTTTATTGTCATTTTGTTTATTGATTTTTTTTTTTTTTTTCAGTTTTCGATTTATAAGTAACGTACTAAAAATTTGTTTTCATGTCTAGATTTTGAGATGAGCTCGGATACTTTTTTAATAATTTATTTCTCTCTGGGAATGTAATGATTGCTATTTTTTCCTCCAAGCAAAGTTTGCAAGTTTTTGATTGGTTGTTGTAGGCTGATGGTCTTTTCCGTATTTTCAAAGATATTTTTGGTGTGATGTGCGTTTTGTTTTTAATTTCCCAGATATACTTAAAAAGCATTGTGCTGTTCGCATTACAAACAGCGTAATATACCAAGCCACTATAAAATCACCAGATAATGAAGAAAAATTATACATAGGAGTAACTGAAGGACCCTGGAAACAAAGAAATTCTGCACACAAAACACCTTTCACAAATAGTAAATATTTACAACACTCTAGATTAGCAGCTTGGCCGCATCATCTTAAAATTGAACCGTAAGTTCTATGCTAATAGTTTCTTCTCTCGCACTTCTCCCTCGTGGAATTCTCTTCCGCCATCTTGCTTCTCAGTCAACTTTGATCTTCAAAAATTTAAACGCAAAATCAATCGTTATCTTTTGTCCTCTTAATTCCTGTTCTTTTTTCGCCCCTTAATAATGTCTTACTTTTTTCTTCTTTTTTTTTCAGATTCTTTCACACTCAGTAACGACATTTTGCGTCTTATTGGCTTTATTGCCTTGCTTGGAGCAAAATAATTAAATATACACAGACGCTCTGTGTGTGTGTGTGTGTGTGTGTGTGTGTGTGTGTGTGTGTGTGTGTGTGTAAAAAGACAATAGGAAAACTGTAATAGTTGCCGACGCGTTTTGTCCGACATGGACTTTTTAAAGCAGGCATTTATAAAATATCTTGCCAAAATTGTTCCTCCCAATATATTGGAGAAAGAAGCAGAAATTTAAAAAAAATCAACCACAATTTTGATTTTAAAAATGCTACATTCATAATAAAAGAAAATAACTCACTCAGAAGGAAAATCCTCGAGAGTGCTGCCATTGAATATTATCCAAATATTAATCTACGCCCAGGTTTTTTCCCTATTTCACCTTTCTTAACAAAATTACTGCTCTCCCAAAGAAGTGTACAGAATAGTATCAAGAAATCAAAAGAAAATGGTTGAATCCGTCAACACTGAAATAATAACAATATCTCCACACGTGACAGTAATTGACGTAATTTTCAGTTAACAGTATGAAAATAGCGTTCTCTAAATACTTTCAGTTGCTAAGGACATTTTGTTTTTGTTATTATTAGTTACTTTGTTTAATAAATTCATTTCGTTTCGCCTTGAAAAAGTCCAAATCGATCGAAACGCGTCGGCAACGATTACAGTTTTCCTACATTTATAAATATTGTCTTTTTCTACAGGTTAACACTGAGAATTGTTTCAGATATATATATATATATATATATATATATATATATATATATATATATTGGGTTTTGAATGCCAAAAGAAAATAAAGAGTTATTCCCGTTGAACCATGAAACCAACGATAATAGCTAGTATAATATAATAATATAAATTTTAAACTCGCTAAATCTGGCAACCCTGAATCTGAGCTCAACGAAAATCGTTTCATGTACCTAACTTTTCTAGGGCTTTTGAATGAGCTGTGAATCATTGAAATCGGACCAGTGGGAGTGGAGATGTTGCTTGAGGTAGATGAACATCAATTCTCTTTTGAGTTTTTCAATACTTCAGAAAATTCATACAAAGTCCGCTTTCATAGGTTTTCCGATTCACTTTACACTTTTTTAGATTCTAGATAAAACCCAAAGATAAATCTGCAATGTTATCGATCCTGACCCGGTATCTCAGCTTCAGTTACTTTTCCACAACCGTTATATAGTTGAAGATCC